GATTAGCCCAAAGTCACCCAACTGGCTTTGATGTCTAAAGCAGGACTAGAACTCATAGTCTCCTGGTTTCTAGGCAGCACCTTAATTGCTAGCCCAAATTGGCTCTCTAATTGATTCACTAAACTTAATAAGCCAGAGATGCACACCTGTGCACTAACAGGATATAAACTCAGGGTATGAACCTTTCCTTACACAGGTAGTCCTTGACTTACGAACACAATTGAGCCCAAAATTTATGATGTTAAGTGAGACATTTGTTAAGTGAGTTTTGCCCTATTTTATGACCTTCCTTGCCACAGTTGTTCAGTGAATCATTACAGTTGATAAGTTAGTAATACAGTTGTTAAGTGAATCTGGCTTCCCTATTGATTGTACATGTCAGAAATTCGCAAAAGGTGATCACATAACCTTGGGACACAGCAACAGTCATAAGTGTGAACCAGTTGCCAAGCATCTTTAATTTTGATCACATGATCAAATGATGCAAAGGTCATAACTGTGAAAAATCGTCATGTAGCTGAAATGAACTGTTGTAAATTGAGGACTACCTGTATTATAAGCCATCTGAAAAGATCTTTGTTTGGTAGAGTATTTTTTTATTGAATTTCATTTATATAACCACCCATCTTACAAAGTGACTCTGGACAATGAACATAATTTCAAAAAAATCCACATAAATAACAAGTAACAAAAACCTACAGAAAATAAGTATCCAGCACATGTTTTTTTCAGAATGGTTTGGCTATTTTCACAAGGCTTCTTCTATAGAATAATGCCAAGACAATCAATACAAAATTTCTTTATAAGTTCAAATCTTCATTCATGTAATTCTTTTTCCGAAAGAGATTGCTTTCCAAGGTAAAGAATATTGATACTATTTTTTTACATTAAACAACCACTTAGATAAAATGATACAGGATTTAAGTTTCTGTATTACTCACTCACAAACTATAATCTGAAGCTATCCAAGAATGCGTTATCATGGATGGCTGAGACTCACAGAACTTCGTAAGTGGGATATCTCTGATTATTTATGTATTGGTTCTTCATGGCAGCAGACTGCTCTGGAATTTCCTGCAGAAAAGCTATTAACTTAAATAGCTTTTCTGCAGGAAATTCCATTAGAATCTTATCTAATGTTATACATAGATATCAACTTTAGAATTTTCTACATCTCTTGTAACTTCAAAACTATCAGATGTGTCTGTTTTCATTTTGTCATAGAATGATATTAGGAATGTAATTCAACATTTTTCTCTCATACATTATTTTCCCAATTCGGGGGGGGGGGGTGTTTCTTCCCATGACTGGAAGCTGGTATTGTGTTTATGCATGTTTGTGTAATCCAGATCATAATGTGAGCTCATATGTTATTTTTATTGTAAACAAAAAAAAAAAGGTGCATCTCTCATGACCTCTTTATTCTTTAATGGGAATCCCAGGATTGCATTTTAAGATGAGAGTTCATAATTCCTTTATCCCAACCGAAATTCCCTACTTTGTCATTTCAATTTTGGCAGAAATCTTTATTGGCTTTCTTATACACTAGATTAGCTGTTCATGTTTACATAACAAACAAATCAGGGGTGGGTCGCTGCCAGTGTTGCTGCCAGTTCGCTTTGTGCACACTTCGCTGCCCCTTCATGCACAGTTGCCTGTGAATTGTTCTGTGCATGTGCGGAACATGAAAAAATGACTAAAAAACAAGCCAGCAAAGGCGACCGGGGAACCGGTTCAGGGACATGGCCAGCCTGCCATTCCTACCCGTTCGGGGACCCAGCCTCAATTTCCACTAACGGTTCACCCGAATCAATGTGAACTGGTAGCAACCCCCCTCTGAAACAAATGTGTAATGCACATTACATGTTATATATCATACATTACAAGTTCAGAAATACCATAGGGTTAGAAGCGGCTGTTTGGACCTCTAAGTCCAAACCCTGGTAGAAATGTATCTGTCTCTCACAAGAAAAGTCTAGCTATGCAACAAAGTTTATATTTTAATGGGCTAAGCCATTTTCTTCTATCTCATTCATGAGCTAAGCATATTTGCAATGGGACGACCCCTTAATGTATATAATGGGGGGGACCCCAGGCCGTGGTCTCCTACTGGACCTTGGGCAGTTCAGAATGGTCCGCAGAAGTGGTGACTGAGCNTGTATGTATGTATGTATGTATGTTGCTTGGATGATCATGGAGAGTCATGTTCCTATTATTCAGTAGGTGTGGGCAATCAGAAGTAGCTACTAAAACATGTGGAATGTTTGTGAGGCTGCTTACTTTTTTATTCCTCTTTGATATTACCTAATTTATGGGCATTATTATAATGTTGGCAAATTACTTTTCTAGTGACTCCTAGCATAGATTTTTGGGCTTTTTAGAGTTGCTACAGATGAACTGGCATCTTTGTCCAGCTATCTAATAAGGTCTTGTTCCTGGTTAGTTATAGATGGTTCCAATTCCATAAATGTGAATTTAAAGTTAACTTTCTTCCTCCTCCACTTGCATTACTTAAATTGTATTACATTGCTAAAATTAATTGTGCTTGCCATTTGGTTAACCATTCATCTTTGTAAATCAGATTCCTTTCGGATCTGGCATCAGGCTGAATAGTTTGAACTTGTATTTAAACTTCTATTATCTACAGACTTGGCTAGCTCACTCCTCCTGCTGGATTGAAGGGGAGATGTGAAGAATACACAGTGTCAGTACTCAGTAGAATTTTAATTTCTTAAAAGGGCTAGTTCACTTCTTATTCCTGAGGCAAGATATTTTATGAACAGATTTAAAAGCACTGGTCTCGGTACAGGATCCTTGAGAAATTCCACTCCCTAATTTTCTCTGCTGAGAAATTTACCCATTTATTTTCCTCCTCTTTTCTTTCTGCCTTATAATAACTACAGTAGCTAGCAATCCATAAAAGGCCGGCTCCACTGTTCCTGGCTCCTGAGTTTCTTCAAGAGCTTTAATGAGGATCTTTGTCAAAAGCTTTGTGAAAATCCATGTATAGAGTGTCACCTCCATTCATGTGCCTGTTAACAGTCTCAATAAACTCTGCAAGACAGGTGAGGCAGGTTTTACCTTGGTGAATTCCATGCTGATTTTTCCTTCAGCAAGGTTTGTTTCTCTACAGATGATAAGCTTGCCGGTTTATAATTTCCTCTATTTCCCCTGAGTCTCATTTTACCATTTTACATTTTATTCATTGTCTCTGTGACTGCCAGTCTAAAGTTGCATTGCGTCATTCACATGTGCATGCTATTAAGAGTAAAACAGAGCTGTTTTTTTAACATTAATATGCAGGAGAGTTTTTCCCTTCACCTGTCACATAATGAAATTGGCTCATCCAGGTTGTAGCTTAAATGCATTTTCCCCCCTCTTACAGAAGCAACAGAAATTGTGTTGAAGGCCCAGATCTTAGCTGGAGGAAGAGGCAAAGGTGTATTCAGCAGCGGTTTGAAAGGAGGTGTACATTTAACAAAAGAGTAAGTCTAGTAAATGCAACACATTTTTTTTCCAAATTATTGTTTCTTTGAAAGTTTTTTTAAAATATTCATATAGTGCTGTATTAATTAATTCCTCTTTTTTTGTAGTCCGAAAGTGGTAGGACAGCTTGCTAAACAGATGATTGGATATAATCTTACAACGAAGCAAACTCCAAAAGGTGGTGTTAAAGTTAAGAAGGTAAGAAAGCCTCCCACCTTTATCAGGTGCACTATGACGCTACTGAGCCAATTACAGTATGTTATGGTTCACTAGATCTATATCTAATCAGTGTTCATATGGGAATGAAGGATACGCACTGCTTATTTACATTCCTTTACTTTTTATACTTTACTCTTTCTGGCTTATAAATGTCAAATCAAAAAGCACATTCTATTTAGGTTTTCTTTTGTGGTCTAGCAGAATGGAAAAAGTTTATAGTAAAGTATAGCCTTTATTGTCATTGTACAAAATAAATAGAACAAAATTGGTTGTAGTCTAACTGGTGAAATCCATGACAACAAACAACATAAATAAGGAATAATCCCAATGTAAGTAATTAGGGGAAAAGAAAAAAGAAAAAGAAAGAAAAAAACTAGTCCTAAGTTCCCGTGTGTGCATGAAATGATTGTGGTTGTGTTTAAGAGTCTGACAGCCCAAGGATAGAAACTATTTTTAAACCGATTTGTTCGGCTGGCTATGTTTCTGTCTTCTGCCCAATGGTAGAAGTGCAAAGAGACCAGGGTGTGAATCATCTCTGAGTATCTTCCTTACTCTGCTAAAGCAACGAGACCTGGTGATGTCAGCCAGTGGTGTTAGAGGGCAACCAATGGTTACTTGTGCAGAATTGATCACTCTTTGTAGTGCCTTCCTGTCTGCAGCAGTTAAACCAGCATACATACTATAATGCAATATGTGAGGACATAAATCATCATTAGTTGTATTTGCTAAGATCTAAAGTACTTAAATGACATAATGTACACCTTATATGTATAAGGTGACCAGTTCATGTATAGAGCAGTCATGTTAAAAAATTCCTTTTGGGGACAGATTTCCAGTTTGCAGGTTGGGTGGTTTTTCACCCTCCAAAAGGCTTCAGGGAAGCCTCCTGAAGCCTCCAGAGAGAGAAAAACCGCCCAATGTACAAACCGGAAATCAGTTCCAATTTGTATAGAAGGAAGTTTCAAGCTCATTGACTCCCATCCGAATTCTGCAAATTCTTCAAAGTATTAATCTGAGCTTCCCTAAAAAAATTCTCTTTTTCTTTGACTGGACAGATTCTTGCTAAACAGAAAATCTTGACAATCATTTTTTTATTATTATTATTACCAGAAGATTAGGGAAAGCAGTTTACTTTCAGTCAAAGTGAGTATCTTATTACTCATGCATGGATTCATCTATAGGGAAGAATTGTTCTTTGTCTTGTTTCATTTTATCTTCCTGGCAATCCTTTTAGCCCTCAAGACCAAAAATATACCATGTGCTAAAATATTTTATAAATGTGATTCCTGGTGGCATTCATATGTGTCTTTGGAAGCAGTCATTTTAAAATGTTAGATTTAAAGTTGAGATGCCAAATGTTACACAAACTACTGTGAAGTTTGTTCCGGAGATTTATTAGGATATAAAACAATGTAGTGTACCGCTCCCCCATGCCTTGCCCCCATACAGCTGGAGTTACATAGTTCTTCTTACCCCAACCAGAAGCCATATTTACGTCTCTTGGGAAGAAGTAGGGGTTTCCAATAGAGAACTCTCATAAACCAGTGAAATTCGATATTACAGGACTTCTTGAGAAAGTTGGGTTAGAAGTGACACAACCTAGTTTATAGTCCTGGGTGCAGTTGGCCTCCTTATCAACCAATGAGCTTCTGAAAGTACATTTCTTTCCCTGAAGTGATACATAAAAACGTTAGTGTAAGATCAATCTATCTTAAATAAACAGAGTTTTCCCCCCTGGCTCCTTCAAACATGGGCAGCTATTTTATAGGTTTACATAAAATTCTCCTACGGCATCATGACATTTGGAGAGCTTGGTTATCTTCAAAGACAGTTTCAGTATATCGCAGTTGATTTACCTGCCCTTGTTCTCCAATAGGGTGGGATGCTGCCAGTGTTACTGCTGCTGCGCTGCATGCAAAGTTGCCTTTAAATTGTTCTGCGCATGCACAGATCATTAAAAAAGGACTAAAAAACATGCCGGCAATGGCATGGGCAACCGGGAAATCGATTCGGGGGTGTAACCAGCCTGCCACCCCTACCGGTTCGGCGACACAGTCACAATTTCTGCTAATAGTTCACCAGAACCAGTGTGAACCGGTAGCAACCCACCTCTGAATGTAACTTTATTGAAGTTTCATTTAGATGGATGTTTTTTTAAATAAAAACAATTAGAGTTCTTGTAATAATATTCTATGGAAGATATTACAGAAGGTTTCAATAATAAGGATGTAAATTCCATCCCTTCATTTAAAATTTAAATATTTTATGTTCCTGCTTTGGGGCAGTATTAATCATTTTATTTAAAAATAAAATTTGCAAAGTTTTGTCTAAATGGGTGTAATTTTATGCTTGGAATCAGACTGGTACATATTCTTGCATTGGACATGTATTTAGGTATTGGAGTATTTATAAACATCTCTTTGTGTGTGTCTGTGCTATATGTATATTGACTTGTTGCTTATGGATTGTTTCCCGCAGTATTATTTGTATACTGTATGTATAGAAAAATGCAGGTGTAAATCTTGAGTATTGATGAGTCTACAGTGGAAGGTCCTACTGCCTGTTTTATATAGACAAGACTTAATGTTGCATACCATGTATTTTTTGTCTGCATGTATTGGAGAGTCCTTTCTGTGTCTGTGTGGACTAAAGATCCAATTCTTTACCACCCAGATGCCACATTGAGATATGAAAGTGAAATAAGTGCAGATTTTTTACTGTAATATGGATAAAGCAGAATAAAAAGTTGGTTAATCTGTCAGTGTTTTGGACTACTAGAGTTCCTTGGGAATTCCAATGGACAAAACAAAATTCTGTACTGCTGAGCTATAAGAAACAGGTGCATGTATCCTTAGTTGTATGTCCAAATGGAATTCTATCACAAATAAAAGATGGTGCCATGCATGTTCCAACAAATGCCAAATTATAGTTCCTTGTGAGTAACTCTGAGGGAGGGAGGGGGGAAGAAAGGAAGGCTAAATGAGATAAGGAAGCAGAAGAAATACATTGACTCACAAGCTCGGAGAATGAATCTTCACCGTCATCCTAGACTTGAGCTACAGATATTCACTACTTCTCCAAAAATACATCAGCATTGGATGGAAGCACAGAAAACTTTTCTGGAAATTCCAGGTATTCATCAGGAACCAGCTACCACTCAGTATTTTCTCTCTGGACCAGAGGAACACTTTCCTCTTTTTAAATGAAAAGTGAATTTCATAGTAAATGTCAGTATTGCTTTACCAGATGATATGGGTTACAGGTGGGCATGAAATGAAAACCACACCTTATTTGGGGTACATTGTACCTTGGGATTTGGGCAGACATGTTCCAACCAGGCTTGGATTTGCAGCTGAAATCTGGAACCTCTAGTTCCAAATTTTGGATACATTCTAGATATCTTGTTAGGAAGGCAAGGCTAGTATGCTTGATCCCTTTCTCTTAAACTTAGTAATATCAGCACTGTCTTTCTTTCTGTTGCTGCTGCTGTCTCCAAATTCAAATGCAAGTCAACGTAAGAGGCCATATTTACCTATCTCTACCACCAAAAGTCTCAGATTTTATGTTTATGCACGTGCCTTTCAAGTTTGTCTTGCTTTCTGGCAACTGCCTGGAAACGTTTGTCCATTTGCCTTGCCCTTGCCTTGCCCAAAGGTGCTTTTTCAAGAGGCAACTGGACTTTCTGGTTTTTGTTTGAAGGCATTTCCCTCCACATCCATTTGCACCACTCAGGTGACCCTAATGACACAGATAAACCTCCAGATGACCTTAATGATCCGCTAAAAGAATGCAAATGACCAGCAATCTGCAAGGAGCATAAATCCTTACATTCCCCCTTATCCAGTCAGAGCTGAAGAAGCTTCTTGGATGAGAAGCAAAATGTCTTCAAAGAAAAACCAGACACTCCAGCTGCCTCTTGAAAAAGCACCTTTGGAACAACCATGACCTGGATGACTGAGAATCTCCATAGACATTTGTTATTGCCTTCTTCCTACGGCTGAGAGTCACTGATCCAAGGTCACCCATCTCATTTTGTGCCTAAGAAAGGACCTAGAATCCATAGTTACTAGCCTGGTGCTTTAACCACTACATCAAACTAACTCTCACTTTTATCGTGTTTAAATTCAATTCAGCATCTTTCTTTTGTTTGATGCTGCTGCCATGTCTTCAAGCAGAGCATAACCTATCTTCCCCACCCATCTCTTCCTTTCCTTTCCTGCAGTCATGTTTCTTTATTATCACTATTCTATGCGTATTTTATTTTTTCTGTGTTTATCTTTNTCTCTTCTCCTGACACCAAGTTGTATTTATTTATTTATGATGTATTTAGCCTCATTGTTTGGGGTGAAAAGTAACTCAGGTGTAAATTCTTTCTTTCTGGGCTTATCACTTTCCATCAGATTAACCTTACATCACAAAGTTGCTTTAAAGGTCAAATAGGAAAAGGAAGAATCATCAATAAATTTCTAGGAGTCAGGAGAAGAGATAAAGCTTTAAGCAACCAGGAAAAATAAATCACCAATTCATAAGAAGCGTATTAGACTTTCTTCTTCACAAGAAGCATACTAAACTTGGCATGTATTGGCATATAAATCCAATAAACAAACTAACTAACTAACTAAACTTTCAAACTTTTTTGATTCCGGTTTGGAGTGTTTTATGGTGGGCTGGTTGTGGGGGGGCACAATTCTGATGTTGGGAGATGATTGGCCACCGCTGCCATATGTATTAAATATTTGTTACTTTCGTTGTTAGCTTATTTGTAGAACATTTTTAATTATGCCATCTATTTGATGAGGGATTTTCCCTGAAAAGAAAGATAATACAGACAGAAAGTTACTCAGGGAAGTTTAATCCTGGTCACACATCAGTGAAATTAAGCACAATGAATAAAGCCAGGTTTTAAGAGCAAATATCCCAATTTTTTAACTGTTGTTTCTGCAGCAGAAGTCACATTTTGATGTAGGAAAGGCGGGTTT